GCGATCTGCTTACACCAGCTTACACTACTTCAGATCGCAATTCTCGCGCATGCGTCGTGGAAATCTAAGGAAGTCTCGTTTCTGGCCTACAAGGAAGAAAAGAAATAGTCGAATAACTCGTTATTTTTGTTTGTTTTTTTCGACAAAAAGTATTCGCGTCGCTTGATAAACATATAGTTGAGCCACGGTAGTCACTTGGGATATTTAAACATTTTCTTCATTGACTTTCTGGGCCGTCAAGAGGCAGTCCCTTAGGCAGCCAATGTGGTAGTTATCCAGCTCTCAAATTTAATCAAAAATATCTTCATTTGTGTTCCGAAGACGAACGAAGGTCTTACGGTGTTGGTACAGCATGGGGGTGAGTAATTAATGACTTAATTTTCATTTTTGGGTGAACTAACCCTTTAAAGAGCGTTCTTTAACAGGACCGTGAAAATGCGCAGAGCTCCTGTGCTGGCCTCTTCATTGGCTCTCATCTGGGTTTTGATTGGCCAGGCATTTGGGTACATGTGGACATCGCTTCACCTGTTCATGCTGTGAGTGTATATACTGAGCGTAATTCGAATTTAAGCAAATGACTTCAAGAATTATTAATAACTCATCAATGTGGATTGTCAACAGGGAGAGCGAGCCACTGGTTTCGGAGTGGCCATGCTCTTGTCTCTGTTCGGCCAGGCATCTGAGGACCCCTTGCTCAACTCTGTGTCCCCGTTGGGGGCCGGCACAGTCGAACCTGGCTCCGAAGACCAGATGGGGAGGGATTGCAAGAGGAGGAGACTCATCTAAGATGAATTCAAGGGTTCTTAATCTTCAAAACAAAAAATTAATCACGCCTTGTACATGTTCTTTCACAAATATTACATCTATTAGACACACACACACACTCCTTGCCCTATACCATCCTGTACTGACCACCACAGATAACCTCCCTCAGTAAAGTTGACAGTACACAGTTATGAATTTAAATAAAAGTGCAACGTTGTCTCAATGTTTCGTAATGTAGTACATGTGAATCTCTTTACTTGCCATAGGGAATGTTGCAAGGATACTACAAATACTGTACCAAGGTCTTCAATGTCTTCTTTTTTCAATCAGAAACCGTTTAAAATGCAATAATTCGATTTTATTTTCAAACATAAATGTCACAATCATAATATCAGAGTATGTGATGCTTTTGTTTTACATTAAATGTGTGCTAATGGCCACATTCACTTTTGATGCCAATCTTGTTAGTATGCTAAATGAAGAATATGGAATGTGAATGATAAAATCTTTTTAGAGTAAATGGTTAAAAAAAAAGTCTGTTTGTCTTTGTTAATGCAATTATTCGAAGGTAACACAATAGTTACAGGTTTAAACCACCAATTAAATTCTATTACATACTGAAACTTTTATTTGTAAGCATGCATACATACTAAATCTTCTGCTTATCCGGGGCCGGGTCACAGGGTCAGCAGTCTAAGCTCCAGCTCTTCCGTGGGGACACCAAAGTGTTCCCAGGCCAACTGAGAGACATAATCCCTCCAGCATGTCCTAGGTCTTTCCCGGGGTCTCCTCCCGGAGGGACGTGCCCTGAACAACTTCCCAGGAAGGCCTCCAGGAGGCATCCGGAACAGATGCCCAAGCCACCTCAGCTGACCCCTCTTATTGGGAGGAGCAGCAGATCTACTCTGAGCTCACGAGTGGCCGAGCTCACCCTATCTCCAAGGGATTGCCCAGCCACAATTCCCGTTCCCCCAGCCCCGAAACCTGAAGGATCTGGAGAAGGCCTGTATGGAGGAGTAGGCCAAAATCCCTGCTGCAGTGTGTGCAAACCTGGTCAAAAACTACAGAGTCTATGGTCTCTGTACTTCCAATTGCAAACAAAGGTTTCTGTACCAAAATACCAAATATTAAAGGGTAACTAAACCCCTGGTCAGAGCCTGACTCCACCCACTGGCAATATTTGAAAATGCTGAAAAAGTGGGCGGAGATAGAGGAGACGAAATAGATGCTAAAACACTCTATCCTGATCGTTTTCAATACTCACAATCCTATTTCCTGACTCCCTAAAGTGGTTTTGAAGACACAAGATGGTTTTTATACTGCCAAGGGCGTAGCTCGCGTGGTGAGCTGAACATCCAATAGGAAAATTCAACTGCAGTAGCCACCGTTCAACCTGAAGAGGGCAGCACTAAGACGTTTTTACACCACATATTATATTGTAGAAATAGAACACTTTATAAACAAATGTCAAAAAAGTTACTATGACTGGTATTAATAAAGATCCATTCTTACAGATCATTAACTAAAAAAAGTTGGTTAAGTGTTTAGTTACTCTTTAAGGTCTGCTTTTCTGATGTATCAATTACTTAAAAATCCTACAATGTGATTTTCTGGATTTTTGTTTTAGATTCCGTCACTCATAGTTGAAGAGTACCTACGATAAAAATGACAGACTTCTACATGCTTTGTAAGTGGGAAAACCTGCAAAATCGGCAATGTATCAACTCCCCACTGTATAGGTATGTGACTGAAATATGATATTTGTATTGACATTTTAAAGAATGTTCTGAAAAAATATAGATATTTAAATGTTAAATAATATACACTTTAAACTACACAGGAGGACCACTCCAGGCTGTTTTTATGCTGATTGAGAATAATCAAGATATTCAAAAAGGCTCAATCAGTAGATTTTCTTTTTCTGTCTTGTGAACTGAACAGAATGCCATGGTCTGGGGGAGAATAAAAGTCAATAGATTCTTCCACGGGTTCAACTTTAACTGGCAGCTCTGCTTCAGATTTGATTTCAGCCTTCTGAGGAACATCTTCCATCTTCACAACGATGTTCTCGCGAATTGTGACCTGCATGGGTGGCAGAGAAATGATACTCTGAATGATGTCTTCTCGTGATGCGCCTGGCTTCACTGTGAGTACCGTTCTGATGACCTCGTCTTCAATGCTTGCCTCCACAACATTTCCCGTTTCTGGTTTAAGATCCAGGTGGCCACTGATCCTCATTATGATGGCAGAGGGTTTATAATGCGTATTGCATGAGACACAATACACAGTGGGGTTTGACAGCGTCATGTGTTGCATGTCCTTGAGTGTATGTAAACGAGGACAAATGAAGATATTTTTAAGGTTTACGCCAACGATGTCACATTTAATTGTTTCTGTTGGCACTTGAACAGCATCTGCTGTATCTTGAGTTGGGATGTTGACAATCTGTGTGTTTTTGGTAGTTGAAAGGGATGTTATGCCATTGAACTTTCTCATAGAGACATTAGTGATGTTGTACCATTCTCCAACAGTAATGTTCTGCTCACACCAGACCGTTAGACTAATGTAGCCTGTAGTGTCTGCAACAGTGTACTCAGTTCTTGGAAGACATCGTCCATCCCATACAACACTGTTTCCCTTGCGCACCTCCTGGATAATCTTTGCATTGATGTTGACCTGTGCAAGATGCAAAAAACAGGCAGTGACATGACACTTTTTTTTACGGTCTGTAGTTATTAAAAAAATACATTAAAATTTCCATTTATAAAAAAATACTTAAACACACCTCTACAGTTTTTTTACATTTCTGAATGAAATTGATATGAATTTTTTTCATGGGTTAAAATAAAAAAATAATAATCTAAGTATGAAAATGTATATCAAGGTGCATTACGTAACTGTACTACAGTTAAAAAGGTGCAGCACACACATCCACAACCATAAAACTGGGTGCTGGGCAGTTGCAAAAGTAAACAATGAGTCTACACACCAGTAAATGCTCCTTAGCAATTTTAATAGTTGCTCACCAAGTGTAACATTTCGGGCCCAAGCCAACTGATCATGAAAAATACTGGAAAAAACTTTAACATAATCTTTTATACTTGTTTTTTTTTTTCCAATAACCTTACTAGACTTGCAGGAAGCTATTTTGTTGTGATAAAACAAGAAATGATATCAAGAGAGTGGAGCCTTGTGAATGGATATAATACATAACCAAGAATATGTTTAATTGGTAAGATATTAATAATCATAAACTACTGTACCTACCTTCTTTGATTTTGTATCCAGGTTTAGGAGTTCAGATATGTTGTGTACACATTGTGGTATAGCAGACAAGCTGTTTTTAGATGTTTCCCCTCGTTCATCATGAACGAGGGACATTTTGGAGCTGTGTGTGTAAAACACGTTCCTTCTGCTGGACTCCACAGATGACTGTAATACGACATCATCTAGCATAACTTGACTCCTGTCAAAAGGTTATGATGTTTTAGATTGACATTTACAATAAATCTGACTACAGAGGTTAAAGGAGTAGTTCACTTTTAAAAAAAAACGTTAAAGTTTTTTTTTTTAAAGTGAACTACTCCTTTAATGGAGAGTTGATACTGTATATAGTTTAAAATGTTGCTTAATAAAACACCTCAGTGCATAGGCCTATGGTGGTTTGGCATTTTAGAAACATATGATTCCTCTATTTTTGTGAGCGAAGACTTACCGCGTGGTTTCAGCATTCTGGAAGTGGATGTGATCTTCCGGTCTGAAGGCCACAACTTTGCTAACTTCACCTTCATGTTGAAGAATAGCATTAAAATAGGGCTTCTTGTGGTCTTTTATAGGGCTTACTTCACAAAGGACACCCTTAATCTGATTCCTTAATATTTTTGGATGGACTTTGCTCTGCCATGTCTGATGGATAACAGCTGTTACTGTAGTCACTTTTAAAAAGTAAAATAGCAACAGTTGACATTACAAACAGCAAACACTTAAAATATCTAAGCTGACCAGACATGATTATATGCTACATAGCCTATCTACACGCACACACACGCGCGCGCGCACACACACACACACACACACACACACACACACACTCTCTCTCTCTTAAAAACACATGTTCCAAAATAGGTTTTTCACAGCAATGCCACAGTGAACAGTTTTTAAAACATTTGAAAAATCTACCTTTTCTTTCCTCTAGTCCTTACCAACGATTATTAATTATTCCCTTTAAATTGTGTTTGTTATAGCCTACTCGTTACAGACACGCATGCAAACACACTGATAAAAACGCACTCAAAAACAACTCTTCTTTTGAAAGACAGAAAAATCTATACCCCACTTCTAAGATCAATGCTTTTGTAAACTAAAAACAACTGGTGAAAGAAATCTTAATACACTATTGACTGAGATATTTATGTAAAATTATAGCGGAGAATATGCTTACCTGTTCAAATGAACTCTGGACTTCTGGACTACATCAGATGAAATGCAAACATGCTTTATAATGTTATGTTTAAATGGGCTATATAACTAGAAGTAGCTACACCGCCCAAATAATTTTGAGTTCCATTCGACCGTAATGAAGTCCAATCCCACAGTCAGATGATTCCGATCCCACGCCCGAGAGAGAGAGAGAGAGAGAGAGAGAGAGAGAGACACACACACACACACAGCCGTACACCACACACTCATACACATTGTTTTTCTAAATTCTTCACAGAATTTTTAAATGTTCATAAACTTTGTTCATAAATTTTATATATTTTACACGGTTAATTTGTACAATCAATTTAAAATGCTATATTATTTTACTATTTTGATGTCTTTATAATTATTCTATGTATTCCAAGCTTTGGCAATATTGTATGATGTACAGTCATGCCGATAAAGCCATTTTGAATTGAATTCATTAAACATTATTTTAATACATTCTTTCTTCAGTCGAAAAGAAATGAAGGTTTTTGATGAAAACATTACAGGATTTTTCTCCATATAATGGACTTCAATGGGAACCAAGCAGTTAATGGTTCAAAAGACAGTGCAAAGTGTTCAAAGGACTTTAAATGATTACAGACGATGAATAAGGGTCTTATCAAACGAACCAATCGCTCATTTTAAAAACATAACAAAGTTTAAGTTTATCAGCTCAAATGGTCGCCTTCCTCTGTTCTGTGATGCATGTTCGTGACTCTCCTGTTCGAACTCGTTTATCAAAATGAACAAATCTTTTTGTTCGTGTCATTTTATTCATTCAATGCACGAAATGAGTTGACTCAGGAAAAGATTTGTTCATTTTGATGAACGTGTTCGAACAGGAGAGTCACGAACACACATCACAGAACAGAGCAAGGCGACCATTTGAGCTTATAAAACTTAAACTTTGATTTTTTTTTTTTTTTTTAATGAGTGATCGTTTCGCTTGATAAGACCCTTATTCATCGTCTCAAATCGTTTAAAGCCCTTTGAACAGTTTGCACTGAAACTGTCTTTTGGACCATTAACCATTTGGTTCCCATTGAAGTCCATTATATGGAGAAACATCCTGGAATGTTTTCATCAAAAACCTTAATTTCTGTTCGATTGAAGAAAGAATGACATGGATATTGTGGATTACATGGGGGTGAGTAAATTATCAGCAAAAGTTTTTTTTTTTTTAAACTCCTTTAAATACGATAGACAAATCGAAAAATACATATTAATAATATAATAGTAAATAAATAATACTAACGCCGTTTACACAATACATTTAAAAAAATTGTAGCCTTTTGATACTAGAGAATTTACAGAGAGAGAGAGAGAGAGAGAGAGAGAGAGAGAGAGAGAGAGAGAGAGAGAGAGAGAGAGGTATTTAGAAGCAAGAAGCGTCTGACAAACAAACTATTTTTTCGTTAAGTGCCCAATAAGAGAGCTAGTTTCGATACTTTCTCCACGCCTCCAAGCAGACACGAAGAATAAAACCGCAGTGCAGATACATGTGAGGATCATATGACCGCCTGAGATTCAACATGGCTCGCGTGCTGCTCTTTTATCTGTTTGCTCTGTCGGGTGTTTTCGCCGGACGGTATTTTAATGAGAACGAGCCCTGCTACAGACCCCAGCCGAGGAGAAACCTACAAGGAGTGAAGTATGACAGACCAGCATTTTTCTAAACTTAATCAAACTCACGGTGGATATGATTAATATATTCCTCTGTAGTGCAGAAATACGACACTAGGGCTGTGCCTCAAAATCGTGTTAGCTGCCTATCTAGACATCGGTTTTTTGGGTATTGTAGGTTTGTTTAGTCAGGTGACTTGCGAGTAAATATACTCTGTAACTTTACTGTAGCCTATGCTTAATATACTTTAAACAAACCATGCGTGCAGATTTTTATAGGTTAAGTTACTTCTTTTGAAACCTGTGAAAAAAAGGTAAGATATGTTTTCGTATTGTCATGTTGATATGCAAGTCATTTCCTGTAACTGTACTTTATGCTAATGTATTTCCTGTTGTGCTTGACTTACAGTTGATATGTTATATATATTGATCCTGGCTCATATGGGATATGTTGGGTATAACTGCCACTTTTAGTATATTTGTCAAATATAAAATTAAAACTGTTCGGCATTGAAAACAGCATTATATATCCCACAATGCACTGCACTCGAATTTGGAATTCCAGCATAATGCATAAATCAGTTTTTTCCCCATTATTTGGTCATCTCATTTTAATTTTTTGGCTCAATTGTCACCCAGTGTACTACAGGCGGCTCACGTCATGGCAATTCGGCACATGAAATTATTAAGAGAAAAACACAGCAGAGTGGTGAAAAGGTAGCCATCATGAGACAATTTGACACCTGTTTCTATTGTAATTAGAAATGTCATGCCCTCAAGGTTCATTTCCCATTTTTGGTTGTTAACTGAAGAACAGATGGCCTGTTGCATGAGGGTTTTTTTGCTGGATTTTCCTACATGGTCGTTTGCTGCTTGCTGTGAATGCCCTTTCAGTGTTTTTGTGGTCAGTGGAGAATATACAGTATACATAGATGGTTGAACAACCTTTTCTTGTATTTTTCAGGACTGGACCACGGCCTTATGAATATATGAATTTAAAAGACCTCCCCAAAGAATGGGACTGGAGAAACATAAATGGCGTCAACTATGTCAGCACAACACGCAACCAACACATCCCCCAGTACTGCGGCTCATGCTGGGCACATGGAAGTACTAGTGCGTTTGCAGGTGAGGAAGAAGCTGTTAAGAGGCAGTTCAACCAGGTTTATGTGTGTATGTGTGTGTCAAAAGAGGTTCAATAAGGGGTGCTCAACCAACTAAAAAGGAGGTAAAACTTCAAATTGATTGGAGAAAAGGTGCAGCACTTAACATTTTTTTTTTTTTGTTATTTGGTTGAAAGTCTCTTCAATCCTGATTGCTATCACTAAGATAAGTGGTCTTAATCGGATACTTCAGGATTTAGCATTAAGCTTATTTATTAGTAGAAAACCGGTAGTATTTTCGAATTACCATACACCGTCCTCGCGCCATTCTCCCGCGGCCCTCAGTCGTCCTGCTCGCCACAGTAAACATAATGAATGGTGACTGTAGAACGCAAAAGCCGAATCCCGGACATTTTGGGTGAACTCGAAACACATTTTCAGATTCATCACGGAGACTCACTAGTATCCTATTCTTGTATAACTACTGCGCTCCACCAGTAGGAGTTTGAGTTGTTGTCTTTCATCCACATAAGCCAAAAATACATACATTTTCTGGCTTTTCTCAGTCTAGAAAGCTCCAAATTCAAAAATAATTTCACATTTCTTCTACATAAATGACCCATTTTAATTACACATTCATCTTTCCAGGGGTGAAGTATCCCTTTAGTGTATTTATATGCATATATATTGTCTGTGGAAGGTGTAGGGCCATAAAATGTTGATCCAATCATTGCATTCGGTCCTACCTCTTACCATACATCTGCACATCTGGTCGCGCAGACATCACGAGTCATCCGCGTGTTTAATGCTATGCAGAGTTAGATCAGTCACTGAGCACCGAAACAGCAGCCATAGTTCCTTCTGAATCAAAACAATGAGTTTATGCTGCGTTCACATCATAATTTGGAAGAGATGAAAACACGTGACATTATACTCGTATACTCGCTTTTCGATGCCAACACTATCAACGGCGAAATGAACCTGCAGGTGGTACAGGTCAGAGCTCTTTATGTTGCTTATGTTCATTAATATTGTAATGTTATATGCTTTGAGACATGAGGTAGTTTAACACCGTCTCTCGTGACGCTTTTGTTTGCTCCCTGTTGTTCGTGTTCTTGTGTTTTCAAAGCCAGTTTGCTATTGCTAGTCTCTTCGAAAATTGCCTACTCTACCTTAAAAAAAGGTTAATGTTTCGGCTTCATCAGACATTCAGGCCTTGAGAAGGGCCGTTACCTGTTTTAACCTGTTTTACTTGTTTTTTAATGAATAAAGTTAATGTAAATCGCAAATGGAAATATTTAGCAACATGTCTTGGCTGTTTTTTCCCCATGAAAAACAAAAACACAGAATATCGCCAGCCCTATTATAGCTTCATAATTCAAACAACCCTATTTTAGCCACATCAGGAAAAGCACAGAATGACATACCGTAGGGTGATAGTAAAGAAAATCATAAGGTTGAGTAATCATTAAAAGTGCAATGGCCTGGATATGTTACATGCTGTTATTTTTTCTGTCTACCACCTGACTCTCGTGTGATCTGAACTTAGGGCGTGTATGCTAGTTTAATTTTTCTGTCTACCACCTGACTCATGTGATCTGCTGTTATGAGTTGTTTTCCTGATCTACAAGTTTCTGCATGTTTTCAGCATATTT